TTTATTTGAGATCCGTTGATCTGTTCTGGAGATATACCTTCAAATTAACATCCATTCATCCATCTAAACATTCGCGTTAGTAGCATAACCTAGTAAAAGTAAAAAAAATCCTATGAGTGTAAAAAAGAACACTAACATACATATATTCACAGCAGTTATCTATTATCTTATGTAACAAAGTGAAATAGGTCGTGTTGAGGACAATAAAAATTTATCAGCGGTGGAACAGACGACTTAGCGGCAAAGTAATGAAGTACTATAGCTATTAGACCACCAAGAGTGACGGTGAAAGGAAAGTATTCAGTCGACGATGTATTACGGGAATTTGGTAACATTAAAAACGACTTCGATTTGGAATAAATTAGAGAAAATAGTGTGATCGAATATGGTGTTATTTTTAACGCATGTTAATGATGGCGATCATCAACACGAACGATTTTGTGAATTGAATCTTTTAGTATCACATCTAAAAGACAGTACCTGGACAGCTTTGCTAGGTATTTTTTTTGAATTGTGTTTTTTGGATATTTAAGTACGAATAACTAATAAAATGATGAAATGTGAATAATATTTTTCGATCTAACCGTAGAAGACCGATCCGTAGAAGAGATAATATATATATATATTTATACAAGAATTGCTCATTTAAAGATATAAGATTAGAATATAAAATGCACAAAATTTTATATTTTCATTAATTTTTAAGAATAAAATAGCAGATTAGTTATGTTATTATACAGAATTCAGTATAAATAATAGAAGTGGCATCATATCGCTGCCCACGATACAGGCATATAACCATAAATGGTAATTTAAGTTAAATTTAATTTCTCAGTTATGTGCAATTTTTATGTTATTTATTGTTTTTGATATAAATAAAAACTTTTTCTTCTTTCTTTTTTTGGTGCTGGGTTTGGTGACAAATGGCTACTTGAATATTACTAAAAGGTACTTGTCCTGTAGATCGTAATTGTATGTACTTAAGTTTTCAATTAGTTTTTAAGTTGTTCCTAAAAGAACGTTCGAATTTTATATTACACTAGCAGTTTTCTGAATTTCGTCCGCGCGAAATTTTAAAACTAGCAATAAATTTTGCCTATGTCATATTTGCTTCCATATTTTTTTGCATATTTTTCCAATTAGTTCAGTAGTTTTAGAGCCTATCGAATGCAAACAAATAAATAATAAAATAAGATTCAATTAGAAATATAAAGTAAACTAAAAATACATGATGTGATTTTATTGGTTAATCGTACTATACCCAGATAAAAATACGGATTTCTTGTTCTTATTTTAAATTCGATAGACGGAAAAAAGGACATGCTGTTTATATTAATGTCCATCGTATAATTTAACCAAAACATTAGATAAATTGTTAGTATTATTAATAACATGCGAGGGACCACATCATTCTATTGTTTGCCTGCATCATAATTATAAAATAACAAAACACGATTGCCCACGACGTTTATGTCTTGCTAACAATTGAATGACGAATGAGTTTTATACAGTTTCAGTAATCAGAGATCGATATTCGGCCAATACATAATAATTTTCAGTTGTGTGAATGTGTGCTCCTGTCTTGTTTAACAATTGCGTTTCGTATTGGAATTAAGATTTTGTAAGTGTAATTAAATTAAAAATTATTATATTTTGTATTTGGTTTTATATTTTTGTTGATTTTTTATAATACTACATAATTTGAGGTTATTTATCTGTTTATAGACATGTTTGTTGATTTGGAATTAATTCTTTAACGTGTAACAATCCCATATTAAAGTGAAGGTAATTTTAAAATTACCAATTTTATTATTATTAAGTTATCATGATTGTTTTGGCTTAGTATGATTATTTTATATTTCTAAGCTAAAGTTTATATGAATTATATTTAAATTACGATTAGACAAAGCTTTCTTTCAGTTAGATGTTTATAGAACTCATAGCACATCATCTATGGTAAGTTTGATATAATTTGCCGTGCGAATGTGGCTTAAGTGATAATTTCACGGCAGGACCCATTGCTATTACAAAGCAATCATCAACGGAGCCTATTTCCTCTTCACGAGGCATGGTTTTACAGCCAGTACTACGCTGTCCAGTCGTACCATAGCAACCTACACGGCCACACTCTAGTTCAGTGCGTTAAGCCCTTCGCGCATGTCAAAAAAGTTGTACCTTAAAGTTTTGGTACGAAGCACAGATTAAAAATTTTACTAGGACATTTTTGTGAATAATGTAAGTTGATTTTTGTTTCCTTTAATTTACGTAATAATAATGTTTGAAAGATTATATTATGTTCATAATTTCTTTACAATAGTTTATTTTATTTTAACGATTTTATTAGTTAACCTTATAATTATTTGCTTTTATAGGTGCGCTCTAGTTAATATACTATTCCCTATTATTTTTTTTATTTAATAACATTATGTGTTGATATGTGTAAATTTTGTACAGTAATTTTAATATAAATTTTATTAGTTATGATTGTTATAAAATTGTTGAGTTCGCAACTTCGAACTTGGGACTACGATTTAAGAAAACGGAACATAAAGTTCTTATGATTTGCTATTTTAAATGTAGAAATGCTTTTGAATCGATTATTAGGTTGAAGCGTTAGATAATAAAGGTGGGCAGTATATAAATCCCAGTTTTGTTATCGTTTAAAACGTGTTTTTTTTGTGGCGCGTGCTACATGAAAGAGCATCGCCACATCGCCACGGTTTCATGAGATGACCCAATTCAATCTTTCGTTTTATTTACCTTACTAATGTTAACGCAATGATATGAACCGGCCTCATTTAGTACATTTTGTAAGCTTTTGATTTCGCTTAATCTTTTGCTGAATCCTAAATGGTTTATAATCTGTTGTTAGCAGCTCCTTAAATTAACGCAATTTAAGTTATTGACGTAATCATTTAAAAGGAAGAAATCACCTCTATGTTATTCATTTAATATTATAAATGCGAAAGTTTAGATGGATAAATGTTTGTTAGAAGATATCTACGAAACGACTCAACGGATCTTGATGAAATTTTTCACAGATATATTCTGAATATACAAGAACATATTCTCGAAGAACACATAGGCTACGTATGTTTTAATTTACCGCGGACAGAGTCGCGGGCGACAGCTATTTAATAAGAAAGGTAATTTGAAAGTAAGAAATTACCTCTATCATACTATAGTTAGTACTCGTTCCTTGCTAGACATTTCAATGAGGAAAATACAAGAGTGGTATGTCACGACCGTGCAAATTAGTAATACGTGATCGCCGCTTTACCCTTTAGGGCAGGGTCGCAATTTATTTAAAAAAAAAAACATCGTTATTGATTTTCAATGTAACTACACTATATAAGTATGATATCAGTTAGTTTTTAAAAATTGCAATAAATATAAACTTAGTAATATATTATTTCCCTTTCGCCTTCCATCCCTACCTTGCTTTTAGTTGCTTTGTTGTTTTCCACATGTTCTCGTTTAACAGAGGTACATTTTAAGCTTTATAATTTTTATTTTCCCAAAGATGTGTGAAGTTTAGAAGTGAACTCGATTTAATATGTCTTGCAAAACTAAGCAGGTCATTGTATCTTATGTGTTACGTATCATTAACACACAATATGGCGATAACGTGATACCCGGAGCTACGTTGTGGCGTAAGCCCTTATCAACGCCATCGCCAGAATATTTACCTGTCTTGTTTACGTGAACAGATAATGTCATATAAGAATAAAAAAAAATTTACGAACAATACACTAATAATTATTCGTGACATAATTGATTTATTTAACGTAACTTATGAATTAAAGTTGAAAGGGTTTTGATATTAAAAATAATTTACGAATTCTGTTCCTAAATGTAATTTTGAATTCTTATCTTAGATTCTTCTGTTGTAAATGAAAGTACGGACTATAGTTTCCACGCTTCTTTATTTAAAACTAGCTGTTGCCCGCGACTATCCGAGTGGAATAAAAAAAAATAATTAGTAGCTTATGTGTTCTTCCAGAATATGTTCTATATGTATGCCAAATTTAATCGCGATCCGTTCAGCCATCCATCTATCTTAACATTCGGATTTATAATATTAGTAAGAAGTAATATTTGGTTGGGATAAGGTTCCAAAAACATCAGCAGCTCTTGATTCACCAATTTGTTCTAAAACAAACAAAAAAACAATCGCCGTTAAGATCTAACGTTCATATCAAAACGACCCATTCACGTCCAAGTGAGCTTTCTGAACGAAGTGAGTCATTGTTCACACGATACGTTGTTTGTTTCTTATCTTATTACTTCCTCTTTCTCAAGTGTCCAAGCTTGTGTACACTATTGAGATATTTTTTATTAATCCGCCGACGGTTCTCTTGTGGTTGTAAATAGATAGACTTTATACGGTGTTTTATTAACTGATAAACTCTGACCGGAGACATGCATCTGTTGTCAAAACGAGAAGCGTTTAATCTCTTAATCTCTGCCCACCTCTTCCTTGGATGAAGACATGCTAGTCTGTACGGAAATAGCGTTATCATTACGTGCTTTTTTCTATCTTTTTAAATAATGTGGGATTTATTGTCAATCAAAACTGGTGTTGAGTCAGAAATCAGTTATAGATTCGAATGTCAATTGTTTTGTCAAATCTTACTAATATTATAAATGCGAATGTTTAGATGGATGGATGTTTGTTTGAAGGTATCTCCAGAACGGCAAAACAGATCTCGATGAAATTTGGCATTGATGTAGAACATAGTCTGTATTCGCGGGCGACAGCTAGTATTAACATGTATACATGGTGAGGACGTACATATAAGAATTAACTAAACGATGAAAAGATCTTTCTAACGCTGATATAATCAAAAACACATAGAATATACCTATATGTAACTTTGAAATACAAAAGAAAAAATAAGGATCATCCAAAACAAAAGAATGGCGTTTTACTATATAATAAATATCTCTCACGTTTAATACATTTGCGTCAATTTAATTTCGTTCTTTTTTTGTTTCAGGTTATTGATTTTGTGCTAAGCTTTCCTCTGAAGATGCTTAAAACAGTCATAGATTGATATTCAATGACACAATGTACCTCGAACAAATTTTAGTGTAGTGTTAAATTATTTAAAAGTACCTTATAAATGTTACGAATTACAATGGACAAGAGAAAGTTAAAGTGCTGGAATGTAAGTTTGCTGTGAAATAAAATGGAGCCACGGGGATATTCAACATCAAAAAATAAGCCCTATTGGTAAGTTAATATTGATTATTTTGATGGAAGATGAATTATTTTAATCCATATAACGTAGACCGAGACAATACTTATTAATAGATTCTACTTTAATATTATGTTTATTAGTTTGTACTTTGTAGTTTTTCGATTGTAGTAAGCGTACAAAATGTTGCCATATCTAAATATTACAATATTTGCAAAACTTTAAGAGTTGATTTACATTTAAAACGCATTATCAAGACAGCGAGTAAATACATGAAGTGTGAACACCGGCCTGCACTAGTGTTTATCCACAACAAATATTTTTATACGTGCTCGAAACGGTAAACCTTTTTTTCCGACGTCCATTCGAGACTCCTTAGAGAGTAAAAGTAAACATAAATTATACGCTCCATTCACTGCGCACGCGCTTACACAGGATTAAAAAAATAAGGTCAAGTGTCACATCGCTCGTAAAGATAGTCCTGGTCGTGTGAACCTCACCTACTAACTGTTTCCGATAATAAATCAAGATGGCGTCACTTTTGAACTTTACGTGAATGTTATTTTTTTTACCGACTGGGTCAGTTGTATGTTTATATAGATGAGTTTATTGTGGTCTAAAGGAGCAAAGTATTTGGATACTTATGTAAACATGACTTTAGTGACCACGTGTGTAACGGTTATTAGATATAGCAGTTGCCTGGCTTAATCCGCGCGAAATAAAAAAAAAATCTCTAATAAATATAGTCTACGTCATCCAGGGATAGTGTAGCTTCCCAATAATAAAAGAGTTTTTTATGTCGCCTGAGTAGTTTCAAAGTTCAATGCAATCAAACATTCATATTCTTCGTTATAAAATTTGTGTCGATTAAAAGGATTTCCTATATTATATACAATGTTATATATATTTTTAAACATACATAAGAACAATTTAGCTATAAATATATTATTTTTTAATTCAGTAGCTTGATATACTTAATATATTACTGCCTTTTATATTTTAATATATTTAATGTTTAATTGTAACACTGAGACATCAAAGCACTAATAAAGAGGGCAACATTTTTGGTGTTTGTGGATCGAAAGCGTATTAACATGGAAATAACGGCTATTGGCACTTTATAAGGCACTTAAGAAGTTCGTTCGGGCGTTTTACAGCCGTTTGATGGTTGTTATGGAGACGCGGGTGCGATCGCTTGTATCGTCCGGGTTTGAATCTCTAATGGAGATGTCTGGTTGCGTAAAAGTCTAAGAGCAGCGTGGGTGTCGTGACCCTACAGGTCAGCGGTTCTCAAACTCAATGGACAACTGAATATAAATAAACAAAAACAATCATTTTTTTTTATTCTTACCTGATTTTTAAAATAGGGTTTCGACTTTTTAAAGTAATAATTATAGTAATTTTATTATTCTTTAGATTTTTAGTTTATAAATGTGCAAAAATGTGTGAGGTGTAACAATTGTGCAGTGCATTTATATAGGCGCTTTTTTAACGCCCGTTAAAGTTTGGCGTTGTCGGTTGGCAAGTGATGAAATTTTTTAAATTATTCTTGCTTCCTTCGCCCAATGCTCAGAATGCAACATTGAGTGATAAAAAACATGTAAATTACACAATATATAAATTTGTTCTATTTGAACGCTTTTTATCGCGCGTTAAAAAAACGTCCGTGCCAATTTGGGCTTAATAATGTCGATACATATGAACATTGATTGTTCTGTGTATTTGGATTATCCCGATCAAAGTGAAAATAAATTGTCAAACATAAAAATTCCCACGATGACAACCCTATTGAATAAATAGCATGACGGAATCGTGAAAGCAATGTAAATAGGTATGTCAGGGAATCTGTGTCATAGTCTGTCACCCACGTCGTAACAAGTAAATCTTGGAAGAGCTACCGTTTGTTTTTGACAATGATTTAAGTTTACATCATCTTTGTTTATGGTCATACGTGTGAAACTGATCTATAGATATTAAAATGAGATATAGTTCCACAAAGGAATGAACATAAGAACAAGAAATGCTCTAGAAAAGCTTAAAGGAGCATAGAGAGTAAGAATATAATGGTTTAATATCCTATTTTACCGTAGGCTTCTGAGACCAAAATCTTCGCTTTAAACATGTTATCTCTGTTTTGTCAAAGATGAAACGAGGATAACGATATGTGTTGTACGGTGGTTTTGTTGTCAGAAATCAAAGGTTAATTGTTTAGAAACCTCGTAAAATAAGTTGACTTAAATTAAAAAACAATCATGAATATAATTGAAGCAATCTTTGCAGAAATATTTCAAATATTAGTTAGTTAAAATAATATAATTAAAAACAATAGGTCACCACCAATGGGTCGTATTAATTGTGGTTGAAAAATGGTCTTTGTGTTTTTAAAATGAGGAACAATATTTGGTATGATTTAATTGATTATATTAATTAATATTACATTACTAAGCTACTGCGTTTATTTTATAATTTATTGTTTGAAGTTTGAATGTTGTCTTATTTCCAGGGCTACAGTTGTGCAGTTGGCCATGCTCATAATGGCAACGAACATCGCTGCCGATTCTCTTCAGGTAAATAAGATTACTTATAGATTGTATTTTATTACATGAGGAATTTAAATTAAGTTGCATTTCTTTGTTGATTATTTAAAAGATTAACAAGTCAATGATTTTATTTGACATGAATGATGGATTAACTCATGTTAAAAGGTGTGAAATATCAATTAATACCTAATGCCTTTGTAAAGAAGTTTGAAACAAACTCTGGTTTCTATGTTAGTTTGGTTTTTATGATTTTTAAAATGTTTGTGTCGAAAACTTCTGTCGTATTGAAGAAGCAAATCCTTAACTCTTACTACCTTTTATATTCCAGGCTTTAGAGCAGTCGTTGGGTAGTGCATACGCGTGGACGTCTTGGAGCAACTGGGGGCCCTGCTCAAGGACTTGTGGTGGAGGAGTGGCTGTACAGGAACGGGAATGTCTTCCAAGGTATAAATGATAAAGATTATCAGAATATTAACATAGTAAATTCATGTATAATTCATGACATAAAGGAGAAAAGCGTTAAAGGAGAAAATATTTTTCATAGTTTTTTTTTAATTAATACGCCATCAATGAGAGTTTTTCAGTATATGTTATTTTAAATTAATAACTTAACTTAAAGTTAAACTTAAGTTATTAAGTTTATATCCACATATATACGGTACTGATTAAAGATTTGGATTTCAAAATGTTACTTGCAACAGTTTAACTACGTCTTCAGTGTAGGAGATATATAGGTCGTGCTGAAAACCATAATTCTCCTTTATTTACGAGCCCGTTCATTCATATTTCACGTCAACTATTACGCGGATTTATGCAACAAAGCTACTGTTAGTCACATTTTCTAACAAAGTGACCGTCTTATAGTATTTCGACAATTTTTTTTTAAATAAATATCCGCAGAAAAAAGACTGTGGACATGGAAAGGGTTAAGCCGACTCGTCTGCAAAGTTTTTATTTTGTTTGAAAACTATAAATCCTACTATTATTATTGTTTTTCGTTTAGTGCAAAATATCTAGGCAATCTTACCAATATTATAAATGCGAATGTTTGGATGGATGGCTGGATGTTTGTATGAAGGTATTTCCGGAACGGCTGCATGGATCTCGCTGAAATTTGGCATAGATGTAGAACATAGTCAATTCAGTTGTATTTTTTAATACCGCGCACGGAGTCGCGGGCAACAGCTAGTTATTTATAAACCGAGACGTTTATTATATATTTTTGTAGAATATACGATAAAGTACTCTATAATCTAAGAACCACAGAGACGTTAAATTACAAAGAAATTTAAAAAATTCGCTATATGTAAGTGCTCGTTAAGGGTCAAAGGTTAAGCACGCCTAACCATATTCGTGTACTTACGCTTTTTATAGATTAAATTAAGGTAATGGAGACCCCGTAGCGCTGGGCTGTAACAAGCTGTTATTGTACGACCATTGATTGCACTCGCGTCGTGATTGACACACATCAGTGTCGGTGTTGCCAGTAATGAGCTCGCGATTACTGTCAATTATATCAAGCGTTCGCTCCACTATTTTTCGAATCATAGATTATTTTTTCTTTTTTATTTCTTTCTTTTTTTTCTTTCTTTCTATCGTTGCGGCCAATATGCATGAGTTTTTATGCAACTTATTTTTATACATTGTGTAGTACGATTCTGAAATTTTCGTGGTCTGTTACCCAGTTTATCTTACTTCTTATTTACAAATTAAATACCAATGTTTGTTAGAATCGAATAGGATATCGATGAAATCTGGCATAGGTGTAGAACACATGGGCCACTTATTAAGTTTTTTAAATTTCGCGCAGACGTAGTCGCGTGGGACAGCTAGTCACGTATAATCTATTGCCAGAGACTCTCTATTTATTTTATAACTGTATCTCTATTACAAAAACAGGATAGATTAGTATCTTTCTTCTCTTTCTCTCTCTTCGAAGTAGCCATAAACAATATGTATTATTAATTACAAATATTTTGACTCTCCTAATAATGAATTAAAGAACCATAAGATTAATCTTTAGTTCGATAACCGTTAAACCGTTAGTCACGCAAGTTCTATTTGTTTACAAATGAAGGGTCTAGAGATAATTGTTAAAGCATATCGGTCAGGATTAATATGAAAAGATACGTTGTGCTGTTGATTTAAGTAGGCAATTAACGTACCGTCACTCTTAATTAAAGGAGGTGGCAACGTTGATCGTTAGCCATTCCAAGACTTGATAACGCTAAGATAAAATTTCTTTATCTACATATAAAATAATCTATGTATATAATAATAGACAGTCTATAGGCTCTCTGGTTACCTTAAAAAACATTTTAAATGACTGACAGTTAATATTATTTAAATATAGATAAATCTTTAGTTCAAATTTGGGATTATCTTTACGTTTTATTACGATTAGGCGGACCAAGGTACTTAAAGTAAGTTGGTCCTACTTTGTGAATAATTGAGTGTGGCTATTATTTCTTAGAGCGTCGGTGGCTCAGGGGTCAAGCACTTGACTTGCAATCTGCAGGACCTGGGTTCGAATCCCGCCATGTACCAATATGTTTTTCGATTTCCGATTTACATATATACATTTATCCGACGTTCTTACGGTAAAGGAAAACATCGTGATGCAACCTGCACATATCTGACAAGAAATTCTAAGATATGTGTGAAGTCAACTAACCCGCATTTGGCCAGCGTGGTTGACTATGGCCTAATCACCCTTAACTTAGGGTAGGCTCGGAGCCCCTCAGTGGGGACGTATAGTGAGCTGATGATGATGATTATTTCTTAATCGGATTACATATTTATTATTACACTTAAGTTTATGAGTTTTGTTGAGCATGCTGTATCATTTCAATATTATATCAATGTTAAACCTCGTCGTGTCAGATTGAACAAATAAAATCCAAAATGGATGAATGTTTAGATGAAGGTATCTCCAAAAGAACGCTATAATTTGCAGAGACGTAGAAAATAGTCTAGAAGACCACATAAGCTATTATACTAATTAATTTATAATACCGCGCGGACGAAGTCGCGAACGATAGCTAGCTTACCATAAAACTAGATCACATTCCATAAGAATCTTGAAGCTCAATTATTTCTCGTTCATTATGCCTTGGCGTATGAAATAAATTATTTAAAGTGCTATGATATACATTCATTAGAGACTTAAGAAGTATCCTGCTGGTACGTTGCGGCGTAACATTCTCGACAAATTAAGTTCGACGTCATTTGTCAAAAGTTCTGTACACGATTCCTTTCGGTCAGTATTATAACTGACCGAACGGAATGAAATATTGTCTAGACGCTGCTTGCGGTGAATTGTTGAACGCTATAACTTCAATGTTTTTTTATTAGACAGTTAACTGATTCTGTTGTGAACTATGGTTTGATTTACTTGTTATATATACTAGGGTAATATATTGAAAAAAAAATATAGGTGACATTTTTATGATACCAGTTATGAGAAAAAGATTTATTTACATACTGTAGCCTATTTGCTAAGTTGTAAATTTTCATCTTACTTCTTACTATTATTATAGATGCGAATGTTTAGATGGATGGATGGATGGATGGATGAATGGTTGTAACAAGGTATCTCCGGAACGGCTAAACGGATCTTAATGAAATTTGGCATAGATGTAGGACGTAGTCTGGAAGAACACATAGGCTACTTATTAATTTTTTTTAATTCTGCGCAGATGGATTCTCGGGCGACAGCTAGTTAAATATGCAATAAAAAAAGTTGCTTCCACTAACACCGACAAATTTCTTAAATAATAAAATATCAGTTTAATTAGATTATAGTGTCTTTAAAGATTTAACACAGAGTAAAGAAGAAATATCGCATCGCTATAAATTTTTCCGAAGAAGAATATACCACCTATATATATTTATTTATATTATACTATGGATATTTATTTATAAAAATGTTAAGATTTGTTGTGTTATCTAAAGTAATTGATAAAAAACGAGTACGTTTTATTTCATTTAAAATTGATAACAAAAATACTTAAATAATTATTTTAAATAATTCTATTTTTGTTATGCATAAATCAGATAATTTTGGTTTAAAAATCAACAACTAAACTTTTTCTATATGTATTCTTACTTCTTTGCTATTATCATTATGTTTTTTAAGAATTAACTTTATTTTACCATGAATAAATTCGTTAAAAAGTCCAAACTTCAACGTTAGTGACAATTGTTATAACCAAAAACCACAAACTTTTTTAAGTTACTGTCGCCGATCAATGAATTACATGTAATCTAAAAACGTAAGCCTTGAAATCTTTTTAAAAATATGAATCAGCAAACTAAGGCCTTTTATATCATAGTTATAGCATCGCCCACCTTGTGCAACATATCTTATTTTCCGTAACGAGCGGCGCTGATATTACATAGTCCTTTGGCTGCGCCGCACCATGTCCTATTGCTTTTATTATTTTCCCGTAACTTATAACGTAATTACAATTAAGAAGATTTATCGCTAGTTCTTCCTTACAGACAATTTATCTTATACTATTCTACATTAAAGTAACAGTTTTTAAACGGTTTTATTTTTGTTAACTAGATTTTTGATTTACTATGTGACTGCATTTACTATCAGTGTATCAAATAAAACACATACATATGATGTTAAGACATTATTCTACAGTAACTTAGATTTTCTACTTTCGTATCTTTAGAACAGCTAAACAAATGCCGCTGATATTTGTAGATGAAAACCATATTCTTTAAGAACCATAGGCTATTAATAAGGGTTTTTTTTAATTCACCGGAATTGTGTCGTGGGTGACAGCTAATATGTTTGGTATGTTATTAAAACTGTTGAAATTCACTTAAAATAATTTTTGGATACTTTTTGGTGTAGCATAACTCCAGTAAGTTATGTTTATGAGTAAAATATTTAATTTTAACTTATCAATTGTTTCAGAAAACGTAAGATTCTCACAAACGGAACTATAGAAGGTTCAGTGAGGATTCAACGAGCTGATTGCCCCGGTGTTAGCAGACGATACCACGAGTGCAACACTAGTGTAAGACGTTGAAATGTTATAAATAAAACAAATGAATGTACATCTTTATTAACAAGTTGTAATACCTAAGCGAATCGTCTACTCCAGAACCAACCCTGATGGTGACCATGATCCTCAGGCATGAGGGACCGATTCTGGAGAGAGAGAAATACCTAATAAACCATAATATATCTTTGTAAAATAGCACACATTATTGTATTTTTACAAGCTAAAGTTTGCAAAGTATTTATTATACTAGTATTTAGTACAAGTCTATTGATCCCTAGGATTATACTATCTTCATATGGGAACGTGGACATAACCGTATTGTACGCTTGATAAATTAATTAATTGCATATATATTTATTAATCCATTGATTCAACCGCGTCATAGTAATTAATTATATTATAGTACTTGTAATGTTTCTAATTCGTGCACTAGAATACCGTATGACACTAACCATGGATGGAACTATGGAGCGTCGGTGGCTCAGTGGTTAAGCACTTGACTTGCAATCTGCAGGTCCTGGGTTCGAATCCCGCCATGTACCAATGTTTTTTTCCATTTCCGATTTACATATGTACATTTATCCGACGTTCTTACGGTGAAGGAAAACATCGTGATGCAACCTGCACTTATCTGAGAAAAAATTCAAAAATATGTGTGAAGTCAACCAACCCGCACTTGGCCAGCGTGGTTGACTATGGCCTAATCACCCTTAGCTTTAGGGTATGCTCCGAGCCCCTCGGTGGGGACGTATAGTGAGCTGATGATGATGACTAACCGTGGGTTTCTGACACCAAAAATCTCTGTATAAAACATATCGTCATCCCTGTTTTAAACGAGGACTTTGGTCTCAGAAACTCACGGTTAGTTAGTTATAATTAAAATGCTACCGGTTTTATAACTTCTGTGTGTAAAGCTGAATCATAAACCAAATATTTCCCACATTCTTACGTTACGGGCTCATTACCCTTAATGATTTGTTCAATCGACACGGTCTGTAGAGAAGCGTATTAGTATCAAAGTTCTTTACGCTCGCTTTGTTCCAATTTACGACCTCGTAAATGTTTCCGCCATTATTGTTCCGTCTAATCCGAGTTATAGATTCCGTACATGACTATTAAATTTAGACTTTTTTTTACTTTTGTAGTGAATACATCGATTGATTATTGTTCCAAGAATACCAATGAAGCTTAAGGGACAGATCTACAAGTCCATCGTAAAACCTGTCGTATTGTACGGATCTGAATGTTGGGCCACCAAGGTTTCGGATGATAGAAGATTGCATGTAGCTGAAATGCGTATGCTAAGATGGATGTGTGGTGTGACAAGAAAAGATAAAGTTAAAAATGTGTATATTAGAGGAAGTTTGGAAGTAGCGCCAGTGATCGAGAAATTGTGGAGTAAAAGATAAGCGTGGTTTGGACATGTTATGCGGAGCGATGATGACGATACAAGCAAAAAAGTAATGAGATTGAATGTATGTAAGTAAAGTATGAAATGACTGTGTGAAAGAGGATATGCGTAGGAAGGGGGTAGATTCGGATATGACGGCTGATAGAGATATATGGAGGAGTAGTACATAGTGCCGACCCTCAATAGGGATAAGGGCAGGTTGATAATGATGATTATGATGACATCGATTAATTATGTCATAAGTTATGTGTATTGTTTTTTATTATTTTTTTCATCAATTAAATAGATTAATGAATATTTTTAATAGCCTTGCTCTGTCGGCGAGGAGTTACAAGACATGCGCAGTGAACAATGCGCAGCTTACGACGGGAGACCTTTCCACGGTCGCTTCTACAGCTGGGTGCCGTATGTTGATGGTGAGTTAATATAATTTATGGTAGTACAGCCTCGCGAGCCTGTGCCTCGGATATCTGTGTCAGTTTATTTTGAGATTATAGCTCTACAAGAGTCTTTCTTATATCTTTTAATTTAGCTAAATATTCTACTCATTTTCTACTTACATTCTATACTTTTGGTCGTCTTTAGCTCTACTTTAGTTATTATATTTAGTCTTAAAACTACGGTATAAGCTTCAGCTTTTTATTGTTATTTTAGTCTTACATAAAATTTGTATTTTTATCAATTTAGATGTTATAAATATTTCATGTAAATAACACATCACAGCCAACGGCTCTTTATCACTCTCAAGGAGTAAAAGATCAACGTTGGCCTTAAAAAAAATAGCTAACTAGTCAAAACATCAAAGCAAAGCTATAAAGAAGGTATTAAGCATAAAATGTCAAACGAAACTTTGATCTAAGTGAGAAAGTTTCGACACAACCTACTCAAAAAGTATACCATACTGAAAACTTATTTGTAACTTAGTATAACAAGTAAGTATCAATAAATTTGAACAACTATAAATTAAGTTTATTTACACCAATGTAATCACTTAATTGAGATAAATGAATTAATGATATCAAATGAAGATGCGTCCCGCAACATGCGATGTTCGACCCGTACTTGCTTGTTAAGATAAATTGCTTCGCACTGTACTGGTAGTACTGGGATTGCCTTAGTTGGATACAAAGTTCATTGAATTTCGTTATTTTAATTAAAATAGCGTGATTAATATTATGTCATACAGTTATTGATTAAATGGATAACATGATTTTAATTATTATGGTAAAATGGTTTAGATTACCTGATTACCTGTTGCCGGACTATAAGACAAATCGGTCCGTCGATTGCTAAGATATGCTATTGCACCTTACTCCATTTGTATGGATACCTATGTATTATATACCTATTTATTATATTTGAACGGCTTGTAAAATGTGTAAGGCATGTGCAAGTCGTGGCATATTGCCGATTCTTTTTATCTAGTAGAACGTAAACGTATGTACGTATATCTTACTAATATTATAAATGCGAAAAGTTAAACAAATGGATGGATGTTTGTTAGAAGGTATCTCCACAACGGCTCTATGTATCGCGCTGAAATTTGGCATAGATGTAGAACATAGTCTGGAAGAGTACATAGGCTACTAAGTTTATTTTATAATTAATAGATTATATTAATAGATTAAAGTTTAAATCGTTAAAAGATTCGTACATGAGAGCTTTTTCTTTACATTTCACTTTGAATATTATTTTTTGAAATAAAATTAACACAAAAGTGTATTAACCAAAACTCGTCTTGTAATTATACATCTCAATTAAAATAAAACATAACTTCCAGAGTTTAGTTTCATTTGATTTCGATTCAAGTTCTATCGTTTATCTATAAAGTTGTTAATTTAATAATCAAATTCCCATGACTTTGAAACCATATGTGTTAATTATAACGATTAAATGCAGTTCTGCTTGCGTACAATGATTCACTTGTAGCTGTTAAATTAAATTCAAGCTATCGGTTATTGACGGGTCTGATTAATTGTTATTAAATTTCGATTATTAAGAGTCGAGTTTGTGAACTGTGTTCAATTAAATATTCAGCTGACGAAACACAGAGGGTATTTTCATTTAGATCATTTTTTAAAGCAATTTGAATTTGGAAAAACATATCAAGAATTATAGTTAAAATTTGATGAATAGAGATGGTAGGCAACGCATCTGTAATTGCGGACGTCTATAAGCAGCGGTTGCTTTGCCATTTCGGCTAATTTCAATCGGCCGCTTGCTCGTTTGTGTTTGATTTTATAGTAAACTTGCGGATACTCCTGGATTAGTGTATAGATACATTTCTAACATGTTTTTCAAAACATTAATAGTATTATAATAAGTTATGGAACTTTGAATAAGATGTTATGAAAACAGATATATTATGTATAATCAGAAACGGAATATTATAGAGCACAATAGTATTTATAAAATAGAATCTTTTTCTATCAATCATAATAGTGTGGGTAAAATCTTTATAGTTAAACAAAATAATAAGAATATTTTAAGCATATAATAATATATAAGCTATAGGAAATCTCTGTTCCGGATGATTGAATCATGAAAAGAATTTCTGCAAACTGACTAACCAACATTTTTGTTTTATTTTTTTTATGAACTTTATACTCTGCCAGTGTGTACTCTGGCATTTGAAAATCTTGTTTCTTTTTTCAAAATGTAGGAAGACTTTTGCATAATCTACATCGTTTAAAATTAAAAAAATATAATGTATGTCATGTTTTCTATGCTATTTTACAGGAACTAGCAGAATTATGCTTATTTTATAAGTACATATTACGAGTCAAGTTAAGTTTATAACCACCTATTAAAATGTCCGCGTGAGAGAGGCCGCGGGCTGAACTGAGCGCATTTAGTAAAACAAATTTCCCTACGCCTAACAAGTTCCGTGCGTTATATGCCTTTGATATTATAAATCAGTGGTTCCCAAACTTATTTTGTCTACTCCCCACTTTGAGAATAATTATTTTTTAGCGCCCCCATATTTTCACATATTCAAAAACCACTATAACTTCAAATTAAATTAATTAATTATTGTGACATATATATGTATATTAACGGAGAATTCTAAACGAAACTTTTACTATAACCCGCAACTTGAGACCTGCAGCGCCCACAAGGGGGCGTTACCGCCCACTTTGGGAAAGACTGTTATAAATGATAGCGATAACCTCTCATTTGTTATAGTAAATTGCTCTATCGGTGTTACTATGATTTATAATAGGCACATTATTTTTACATCATCTCCTATATGCGATCTCGATACGAGATAATTTAGTAACTTACTATTAAAAAACACTGTCACAATCATTGTATTCAATTCTTAAGTAAGTTTAAATATCTTTGCAATGGTTATTAACCAATTTTTGTCCAACCAAGTTTTTGTCTCTCGAAAGTCCTTCATCATCATTGTTAATCAGGATTCGTCCACTGCTGAACGTAGGCTTCTCCCGTCGATTGCCACAATGCCCAGTGCTGTGCTGTCCGCATCCATTGACCAGGTCGATTCATCTTGCGGGAGGCAACGTCCTTACTGCTTTGAAATAGACTAACCTAATTTATCAGATATGGTATCTGTTATTGTGTAACTGCCGCTCTCAGAATCGTATTATAGTTTCGTACGACTTACTACACTTAGGGTAGTCGCTTAGTATAGATTTGCAATATCAGTGTATCTTTAAAATGTTGCTATAGATTACTTTTGTCGACAGGTAATGTACCATGCATGTTGAACTGCCGTCCCGTTGGGCAACAGTTCTACGCGTCTCTCGGGATAGTGGCAGACGGCACGCCTTGCACCAAGCCGGGATACAGGGCTATATGTGTCAAGGGAGTTTGTAAGGTATGTCAATTTATCATTTCTTGAATAATAGCATAATTTAAGTGATTGAAACTGAAGTTAGACAACTTTTTAATCAACATATTAAACGACTTAACGTGTATTGATAGGGATTTAGTACAAAATAATACTAAAGTTTAGTTGAAAGTTTCTCTAGAACGACTGTATTTATCTCGCTGGAAATTGACATAGATGTAGAACACATATGCTACCATTTTTTTTTATAATTCCTCCTGTACGGAGCCGCGGGCGACAACTAGTCTATATATAGATGCATATCCAATGAATGGTTTAAGCGCAACAAAAGTTATCAACCGTACGCTAAGTAGCGCCAGCTGACAATTAACGATAAATTAACATCATTGAATTGATTTTATCAGCATCGTATTTACAATTAATAATTTGTGATTATACTAGTTGGAAGGTACAGGTCCGCTCGTATTACAGTTTTTAATTTTAGCCTTTGTAATTAAACCCCAGTTGACTGTAGTTAACCTCGCATATTCATTTATTCAAGCTGTTCCGATTTATGACCGCTTTACCGAGAATCGTGTTTAATAAATGTGTATTTATGTTGGTTACGCCCGTTACATAAACCTATTGTCGAGTTTCAAGGCCAAGTTTGCAGGATATTATATCCGATAGAATTAATGATAATTTATTGAGTCAGTTAGGGTAAACGCACCCAGTTTTGACACGGATATATGTTACCGTAATAGTTAAAATGCTTCATATGTAGCAGATATCTGTGATAATATCATGATTCTGTCCTTTCGGGGAAGAACACAAAGGGCCTTGCTACAAAAAAAAATAGGGTCACAAATCTTTTTTAGCTTAACTATACGTCAATCTTTTTTACGGTGATTATAACGTCCGGCGCAAATTTTAGACGAATCGTAGCTATTGAAAACATTATTTTGCGGCTTACAATATGAGTTCTTGACCAAGAAATGAAGGTACCGAAAAAAACGTAGTGATAAATTATTTATGGTAAAACATATTAGCAATTTGAAGTTCATAATATCCTTCACCGGCATTTAAAGGGTTAAAACATGTCTTTAACTAAACATATTTTTTGAAGTGATATAGAAATTATTTAAAATGTCATGGTGCATTTAATCTGAATTTTATGTGAATATAAAACATCGAATTAATTTCATTTAATTCACAAACTGTGCTCAATTCGCTATTGCTAAAACTAGATCACGATTCAGTAAAGCCGTGACAAAGCAAAGTTGTTGATAAAATTATGTGAATATTATAAATATGAATATTTTATCATAACTGTCTATTTAAGTGCAATTAGATATTTGAATTATTTGCTGTAATCCACAATTACCGTATTAAGATAATTGTGGTTTATTTGGGCATGTTTGTAGCGCCTTTTCCAATTTAACTAAAGATTTCTTGACTTTGCAAGGACCAACCAACAGTCAATTAACCATTCCCTTTCAACGTTGCTCTCCCTTAGTGGCCATTAAATAACTATGCGACAATATATACTGTTAGGAAGAAAATCCGACAATGTGCCGGTATACCGGCGCAACACTAGCCTTACTAAAATGTCGACATTTATGTCCCCTCACTAATTATTCTGACACTTGACTTTGTAGCGAAAGCGCGTCATTCGCGCCAAAGGATTCTAACTAATAATGTCTAAAACTATAATACATTTATATTTTTATTTAGGGACGTCCGTACATTTATATTTAAAATCAAACACATGTATTTATCCACGTCACAGTCATCGGACTTCGATTGTAGGCGCAATAAAATAAAATGATTTGTCTATTGAGTAAATATGAATCTCTTGTCCGCTCTATAATGTTCAATCGTTGCAACTGTACCATAGACAAGGACAGTCGCCTCGTAATCGTAAATTATTTAAACTATTGTTAGTTATTACGTGACAATGTTGACAGCCTATTGTCGTACAATTAACTTGTACTTGAAACACTATTTCATATAATACTAGCACTCGCCCGCGTCTCCGTCCGTGCTAAAAAATAAAAACTGAATAAATAGCTTATGAGTTCTTCCAGACTATGTTCTACAGCAATGCTACCTTCTTATAAACATCCATTTATCCATCTAAATATTCGCCTTGATAGCAAAATAATAGATCCTTACTGTAACTAAAACAAAATAACATCACGAATCCTAGATCACACTTAATATGTTATAGTTGTCCTTTTGTACAACCTATTTTAAAGTTTAATAACTGCAATAGTTATTACGCATTACAATTATAACTACTAACAACTTTATTTGAACTTTAATTTTTAATTAATAAGATTTACTTACATGGGTTATGAAAGGACGTCAGTAACTTTTTATAATCTCTTAATTAGTATCACAAAATTTTCTGAGCTATGCCATTTTCTTCAAGCAATTACTCGCCAGTATTATTTACGAATAATAAATTTTATGAAACAAAATTAGTTGCACCGACTTTAAGTGGGATAATGGGCTCATAAAGTGAAGTATCAGTAAACAATTTGGTAGGTGCAATGCTGTTGTAAATTTTAGTAACTACAAATTGTACTAAAATAAATTCATCAGACCCTTAAATGGTATGGGAGCTATTAATAGTAATTGCGTTATAATTCTTAAGTACGTAGTTCAAATGCTTTATATCGCAAACCGCAGCCAAGGCGCCATCTTTGAACTTTATCTTACATTAAATTAATTACCCAGCAGAAATATCTATTTGTTTTGAAATATTAATTCGAGAAAATAATTATAAATTACATATATAATTAACTGAGATTAAAACAATTGAATTTATCTTTAATCACTTTGGTGGATGTTGAAATTGAAATACAATGGAATCTTGATATGAAAACTTTTTTTATATATTATAAGGTGGCAAACGAGCGAACGGCCACCTGAAATCGATGAAATAGGGAAGCGACCGTTGGACATGTTATGAGGAGGGATGATGATGATATAAGCAAAAAAGTAATAAGATTGAATGTGGATGGCTACAAGGGTATGGGGAAGACCAAAAAAAGTATGGAATGACTGTGTGAAAGAGGATATGCGTAAGAAAGGGGTAGACTCGGATATGACGGCTGATAGAGATGTATAGAGGAGTAGTACATACTGTGCCGACCCTCGATAGGGATAAGGGCAGGTTGATGATGAGGGAAGTGACCGTTGCCCATAGACATACTCAATTGCACATGCGTTGCCTACCATTAATCGACGGAGAAAAGGATGAAGTCTGGAAGACATGCTATTTTTTTAATTTCGCGCGGACGGAGTCGTGGGCGACCGCTAGTAGTCAATATATTTCTAAATTGGATCGCGAATCGAGTAAAATAAATCACTATGGTCTATTTAATTTGTATACATCAACAATTTGAACGTATAACATGTTGAATGTAATAAATATACGCCAAGGGGTACCATTAATATGTTCATGATTTATTTGGAATACGGCTAGGTTTCCGTAGTGACAGGTTATCGTGGAGCGGTAGTGGATAGTGGCTAGTGACGCGCTGGGCGGTATGCTCATTGCCCATAGATCGGTGATTACGATTCACTGCCGCGGGCGACGTGATAAAGTTTAACTAGATGTGGCTTACTATGTCACTTCATTTTACTTTATACAGGATGTTATTGTGAACTAGCATTTGTTTTTTTTAAATTTCAATGTAAAAGTATGGTTACGTACGAGTATTTTATGACTACCACATTATACGAGGGAGTATTTCAATCTGTCTTCAATTGTTCTTCTCAGTAGATATTTGCATTTATTTAGGCATACATTTGTTTATGTCATGATAAAGGTTATTAAAACATGTACCATCAATTCACTATACGTCCGTCGTGTCTCTTCTAGTAACGTTGATCATCAATGTCGAGAAAGGAGGCAATTCCGACATTCCTTACTATTAACCATATAAGTTTATCTAAAGATTACAGACAGGATTGGCCGTGATTAGAATGTCTTAATGTGTTGCTTAGATAGCATCACTTGGAAACTGATTTAAAATAGCTTTTATTTGCATTTGTGTAACTTGGAGCGTCGGTGGCTCAGTGGTCAAGCACTTGACTTGCAATCTGCAGGTCCTGGGTTCGAAACCCGCCATGTACCAATGTGTTTTTCGATTTTCGATATACATATGTACATTTATCCGACGTTCTTAAGGTGAAAGAAACATCGTGATGCAACCTACATATATCTGAGAAGAAATTCAAAGATATGTGTGAAGTCAACCAACCCGCACTTGGTCTGTGTGGTTGACTATGGCCTAATCACCCTTAACTTAGGGTACGCTCCGAGCCCCTCGGTGGGGACGTATAGTGAGCTGATGATGATGAGTGTAACTTGCTTCAAAAAATGTGGCTTATCCCAAAGTATTGATTGATTGTTTACCATACTACAATCCTTAAATATAACTGAATACCTTATTGTCAATTCGAAATATAAAAATAATCAAAAATTTCTTGCATCCCGTCTTTGCAAGTTTGCGCAATAGTGACTACATAGGATTATTTAAAACAAATGATAATCGTAAAAATATATTTAGCAATAACATTGTCGCGTCCTACACCTTGTTACGCACTTCATTATGTCATGTCATGTCACGACGATAAAAATGAAATTTATTATCTGTGAAATAAATGCTTACAGCAACAGGTAAAGCTTTCCTGAAAATACGACGCTGAAATATGCGCTATAAAAGATGTCAGTGGTTTTAAAATATCTACATCTTTTATTATATTTTATTGCTATTTAAAAATGCAGATTAAAATTTTATAAGAGAGCCTCCTGTATAAAGTTTTGTCTATTGTAGACGAAACAATAATTAGTATTGGATGGATTGGTAATATCGAACGAAAAAGCAACATATACATTCATTCTGAATTTCATCCACCTGCGGATAATAATCCTATTATTCGGTCACCTCTCAGCAACCGCGTGCTAACTGACAGTATGTTAAAATATTTTAAAACATTACTCGTTCACAGATTTTTTTATATCATAAGGTGGC